TTGTTACTACTAGTAAGGCACCTGTTACTACTAGTAAGGCACTTGTTCCTAGTAGCGATGCTTATTCAATTTCATCCTGGAGATATGTCGGGTAGACCCTAATTTGTCGCTCCAGTGGATCTTCATCGTCCTACAGCACTGGAGTTGCACCGAACACTTGCGCCAGGATACCTGCAGGCTGGACGGATGGGGGGGCTATGGTAGTATATTCTCGTGACAAACCTTCTATATCCAAACTTCAAGCTTCCATATCCGAAGGAGTTGACGAACTTTGTGTCCATGTCCCAAGGGTTCTTTTTCGCAGAAATCTCAGGGACCGTTCAGTACACGAGGCACCGGACCCTTCACGTTTTTGTTGGACGTCGTGACCCGAAAACAGTTTCTGAATAGACTAAAACTGCAGACCTGGTGATCCTGAAGACCCCAAGTTACTGCAAAAGACGTGGATGAAAAAACATGGCCTGTTGAGAAAGGCAACACCTGTGAGTTGTGGCGGCTTGTGGTGGTCAATGGCGAACTCTTCTTGAAATCAGAAGCTTCTTCGTGTTCTTTTGGTTCAATACATCATATCGGTGTGCAGGCAGTTGTGCTTGATTGCACATCTTCGGAAAAGGGGCGGAAAAAACCACCCGTCAATTCTCAGGTGCCACTTGTCTTCCATCGCGGGATGGGTCGGTCTCTGCACGGTTTTCATCCGCGGCGCTTCCTTGGACTCGCGCGGATGTCGTGCTCGGTCCGCCCGGCGAAACCCTTCGTGTCGGTTAGGGTCTTCTCGGAGCTGCAGATCGGTATAGGTCATATTTTGGTTTTTGACGCGATTTGAAGGGGGTGGTGTCTGGACCCTGGTTGGGGTGATAGACACCCTGTATACCACCAAGCAAGGCACCCCTCTTTGGGCTTCGTACAAAAGCATACTAAAGATGTAGATAATAAATATAGAAACACCCATTGCTGCTAGTAGCTTCTTGTTACTAGTAGTAATGGCCTCCAACCTAATAATTGACCGTGCGTAGCTTCTAGCTACTAGGTCTAGAGGTCTAGATGTTCGCGGTTTCTTCAAGAAGCCACCCTTTGGGACTTTGGGGATCTCCACTAAAAAACGCCCACCGCTGCGAGTTGTCCTTCACACCATTGGGAGGGTTTCGTCTTCCATACCCTGTCAGTGGAGAACGGACCACTCCGAGTGATTCACATGGAAGTGGTGCGTTTTCCATGAAGGAGGGAAACCTCTGGCGACGATGATCGTCATCCTTCACCCGTTCCGTTCCCGGTCCCCCGTTTGCGGCCGTCTGACCGACCTCAGGCCGCCCGAAAAACGGTTTTCAGGTGGGAGCGGCACCGGGGGGTGGACGTGGAAGGCTCTTTTTCGAGTGGGTTGTAGAGGTCTCAAAGAATCAAAGGATCTGTTTTGGAGGCGGAGCTGCAAACTCAGAACTAGTTCTTTTTCAACATCCAGTCGATCCAAATGGAATCTTCTTCAAGGATATGATGGAAAAGTTTGGAAGACGTTCTGTCTAAAGCCTAAGAGGTTACAAAGCTCATCAAGTACTCTGATTTGTCGCTGCTTCTTTCCAAAAACTTTAGATACTCCTGGTCTCTATCTACGCAGTAGCTTCAAACAAGCAAGAGTATTCCTGGAAGCACTTGGACAGGTTCTTTGTTCCACAAAGGGTCTTAAGGAAACGTGCCCAGAATCCTAAGGGAGAAACCAACACATCGAGATGTGTAAAGAGATGTTTCATGTTGATATCCTAACCTTTCAATCATCATGCATTTTCTGGTTCCTGTGTCCTGTTTTGGTTTGGTAACGCGGGAACACAGAGCACGACCAATGGAACGCCATCAATGGGCGGACGTTCTTCAGGGCTTCTGGCAGAGAGCAGCTCATGTTGAGGCCAAGAGGAAGCCTCCACCTTTCGATTGGCCCAGTGGATCTTTCGTGGATCTTTCTGATCGAAACGGCACAGTGAGGATGATCTGTCTTGAGGGAAGCCGACTGGTTTAGAACATGTTTTGTTGGGACTCACCTGTAGTTGGTGGGACGAGCTCATTGTTGGGACATCTCTTGGGTTGCCAAGAGCAGAACATCGAGAGGGTGGAGGGAGCGGTCGCGGTCGGGCATGGGTCTTTGAAAAGGAAACGGTCTCAAACTTTCTCACTTGGTGGCTAGTTGGATGGGAGTTGTCCACCAGCATAACGGATCAAATTAAAGGGCATGTCATGTTTTTCTCCCAAGAAATCCAACTGGCCATGTGCAGGACTCCAGCTATGGGCCAGTAAGGCGAGGGCCAGCAACTGGGTGGGGCAAGCGTACGAGCCTTGTCGATTTAAAGGTCTGGTTGGTCCTCTCTGGTCGGTTAGTCCACCTACCCAGTCAGTGGGGTAGTCCTGCCCAACCAATCGGAGGGGGAGAAGTGGGACGCCCCTTCCGAAAACCCCCCTTCTACCCTTCTGAGATGGAGATCATGTGGTGGAAACACCGAGAGCTGTTCCAGGGATCTACGGACGCCTCGGTCCGTCCGAAAGACGGGTTCGGTCAATGCAGCTGCTTTCCAATCGACAAAGCACGTTCCAACCGAGAGCGATCGAAGATGGCTTAGGGCTTAGGGGCAATGGTCCGACAGTGCATGACCTGCAGGGATTGGCTTCCAGCATTTGCATCAGGGCTATATATAGTTAGATATACACACATGAGTCATGAGTGGGAAGTGTTCTAGTTTTACAATATCGATGGTGCATGATGTTCGATTCACAAATCATTCCTTATATATACATAGTTGGCCAAGCTTGGAGTCCATGTTCATACACTTTGGGCTTCATGTTGCTGTGTCTTAAGTCAAGATGTCTCAAGCTTCGGGACCTTTTTTTGGAAGCGTTGAACTGATACTCCCATGCCGTCATGGTTGGGCATTCTTTTTGCTCAGGCTACGTCGTAGGACTCCTCCTATCCGGGTCCAGTCACATAAAAGCAATACTCAATGCGGTCGGAACCGATTTGACTTGCTTCTTTGGTACCCACAGGGTATCAAAGAAGCCAAAAGAAGCTATCACTTTCCTTAGGGCCCTACCCAGGAAAAGTGGATAACCTTTAACATCCTTTAGGGATTGGTTTTCCCACGAAACAAGATCTATTCAGTTGAATGAGACTGTGATTGGGGAATATATGCATGAACCATGCGGATGCTGTACTAGCTTGAGAGGGTGAAGAGATCCCGGTAGTTAGGATAGTTACTTGATGTTACTTGTAGGTGGAGTAGCTGTATGTAATCATGACACGAATTCACTAGGTTTCATCAAGTCAGCTTACGAGACCCCGGAGGAACCAACGCAGAATCCTTCCCCAAAAACTCGTTCCAACGAGGGCCCTTTGCGGACTCGTCCGGTCGAGATTGGTCAGGACTTCCCCAAAGGCGCGGCGTTTAGCGCGATCGATTCCGGGAAGGTGGGCATTTCTCCATCGGGTCGCCCAGCCTCAACAGAGGGGTCGTTTCTGGGTTTCACCCCGCGGAAGGTGGGCATGTCTCCCCAAAAAACCCGCTCGTTTCCCGGGAAACTGCTTGTTCTCTTACATGCGTGGGTGCGAGACCGACGGTCGAGACAGACGGCGGGATCGACTGGACGTGAAGGTCGATCCTCGTCCAGGTGAGTTCGGCTTGGAGCCGCCCTTTGGCGTGGCATCACGAAAAATTCATTTAAAAACACGGCGAATAAGACACTGTTTCAGGTGTATGCTGGAAGGGACAAGAGACGAAAGGTACGGGTGAAGTCTATATCTTTCACTCTGCATCTCATTGCATTTCACTATTAACATCTATCTATAGTGGTGGATTTGTTTGTGTGTTCTTGGCTTATCTTGTGGCAATATGTTGATGATATGTGTTTCTGGCTGCCGCCAGAACCGGAACACCCCCATGAGACTCACGAGACGCACAGGATCGCCGACTTCCGATTTGCCGGCACTTCCTGCTGGGGAAGCCGAAATCTCAGAGAAAGTTGGAGGGCTGGGGTTCCTGAACATTTTGTGTGATAGATTCTGACAGATGTCTTTAAAATTCCTATAAAAATCTTAGATGAGTCTTGAAATGTTTCGCTTGACTCTAAACAAGGGCCCGGACCAAGAGGTCAGAGAGCTTCCCCATCAGGGAAGGCAATCACCGCGGCAGCGGCACCCGTCGAAGAGGGAGGTGGTGCAGGATCGGCTCTGTGCTCAAGATGGATTGGTTCATAGGCTTGGAATCCCTCGCTGCCAAGCCTTCCTGTAGAGACGTCGTCGTAAGCTTTCGAAGCTTGCAGGATTCTTTCTAGAGGCAACATCGCTGTTGACATCTATTGGAAGAAAGCCCTTCCAAGAGAGGTTCAGCCACCTGAATAAGGACCCATAACCTGGGTGGTCTATAGGGATAGTCTATATACGCAGGCTTCTTCAACCCCTGTTGGTTGCACATGCTTCCGATGTTTCTGCGAGTCCTCCCAGCATGGAGTCGGACTCGCCCCGCTGAGCAAGAGGGAGCACCTTCTTGCTGCCACCAGCAAAGCTCCGGCTGAGGCAAGTGTTGAGGAGTATGAAATCTGTGGTCCATCAAATCCAGCACTAAATCTGGTAAAGTGAGTAAAGCTCCTGGGTCATGTCTTCCATTTTGGTGTCTTTTTCCCTTGATCCTCGTTCCTCTTCATGGATAAGCGTCGCTTGTTCTGGCACAAGTGGTCGCAAGTGGTCGACGACTCCTCGGGGCCCGAGCAACGCAGGCATGGGCATCCTGGATGGCATAGTCCGACTCCTTTCGGCTGGATGAAGAGGAGGACGAGGATGAGGATGAGGAGGATGAGAACGAGGAGGAGGACGAGGATGAGGATCACTCCACCCAACTTCCCTTGGGTTTTCAGATCGCCAGACACCCTCAGCATCTGGCGTGCCCAGCTTTCCACCCGCTGGCCATCGGACGCACCGACCCGGCAAGCCATGTAAGGTGTACCTTTGGGAACACCTGCGGCTTTCGGCACGAGGACGGGAGTTGGGGGTTCGGGTGATCAGCCGGGTGCGCGTGGTTTTGGAGGAATCAGATCAGGAGGAATCAGAACGTCCAAATCCGACAAAACCTTGTGTCACTTGGTTTCAGAGGTTCAACCATCCGATTTCTACGAGTCTATTCCTGTCACAGAATTCGGGGGTTGCTTTCCTTAGAACTGAACAGCTGGAGTTTCCAACTCAAAGTGTTTCTGTGTCGCTGTTTTTCATCCGGTGCGCTCAGGAGGAGACCGTGCGGCTTGAGCGGCCCGAGCCAGGCGTTTCTGGAACACAGGGCCTGTGGGAGACAGTTGACAACGCAGGGGACAGGGGAGGGTATAGAAGACAGAGCCAGCATTGGTTTTGCATGCGAGACAACAAAGACACCCACCCACGCACGCACGCACTGCACGCACTGCACGCACTGCACGCACTGCACGCACTGCACGCACCGCACGCATTTCGCCCCAGCTTTCCACACTGTGGCCTTGGCTGCCCGTGAGTGCATTGTTGACAAGCTGTTGCCACATCATTCACCCAAGCATGAATCCCAAAACGCGCAGAAGACACGATCCGATCGAGACTTGACTTCCAAGAAACGATTTGACAAGAGACCTGATCTTACTTGTCTCTTCCAAGCAACTGGACTGTATTCTTACAAGATGAAGACCTGAGTGAAGATCTGATACTCCTTGGAGATGCGCAGAACATAGCGGCGCGGTCCGGCCCTCACTTCGTCGGCGCTGGCGAATTGGGTGATTGGAAGAACGGAGTGGAATTCCCACAAGAGGAAGGTTCGGTGGTTTTTTGTGGCTGTCCTTCGTCCCAAAAGAATTCTTGGAATTTGGGGCTTGGAGCCGCACTTGGGTGGTACAGCTCTGGCATGGCATGATCGGAGGTCACCAATTGAGACCTTTAGCGGTTCCCAAGAACCCCCCCTTTAGGAGATCTGTAGAGTCGGGAGCTGGTAGATGATGTTTTTGATTTCTGCTCAGCCAGGTGTCGGGCCATCCGACACGAGGCGGTGGGATCGGTGTGACATCGAAGGAGGCTTTGAGTAAATGAGTTAGGTCCCCTGGCCCCATGGGTTGTGGTCGATGTTCAGACTTCATCATACTTCTATATGGGGGTCGAACTGGGAGGTCTCCCTATTTTCACACCAAAATACCACGCAGAGGTGGTTCCTGATCAATCCTGATTGAAGTTCTTGTTGAACTCGGTAGTTCAAGAGGTCAAAGAGTCTTGTCAGTCGCACATGTCCGGGTCAGGAAAGCAGCCAAGATGTTCCATTCATCGTTGGGTCAAAAGCCAGAGAATGGAAAGCCACACATTCAGTAAATACTGCAAAAGTACCAATTTGCTGTTCAATTGGTTCCACACGAAGGTTGCTTCGCATCTCCTAGTTCATGGAGTTGTCAGGTGTTATGTCAGGTTCCTGAGAGGTTTTGTGGAACACAGCTTTCCCATGCTTTAGCACCGATCCACCCCGATTCCATCAATTCGCAGAAAATGAGTTTCTCAGACAGACATGGACCTGTTCCGTTACAATAATTTGAGCACAGATCCATCGAGTAACATCGACCTTCTTTCTCAACTCCACGCTGAGTTGCCATGGCATTTGCAGTGGGATATCTGGAAATGAGGCTAACACAGCATGAACTCTGGGCAAACGATTGGTCATAGAGATGCGTTTGCAAAGCAATTCCCGTTCGATCGAACGGGTTTTCTCCGGTTCAACGCCGAGCAAACGTGCATCGACCGGTGGGATGTGTTTTCCCCCCCACGTTGAAACGTGGGTTTCCGGGTCTGTCGGTAGAATTGTTGAAGTCTAGTCTTACAATGTTCCAACTCAGCAGACCTCTGATGTGGAAGAGAATGGGTCGCCTTTGGTTTTGGAATGTTTTGGATCCCTGGAATGCTCGAGCCAGCAGGCCCGTTTGTCGACACTTTGCAATCGGGAAATGCACCTACGGAAATGAATGTAATTTCGCACATCCCATTTTAGCATAGAAAATATACCTTTACATATGGATTAATTGATATTATATTATTATTTTTTTTATATATTAATATTTCGCATATTGGTTATATGAACAACGATTAAAATTTATTATGAAATTATAGATTATTAGAATTGGATAAAGATATTTAGATATTTAATATATATGTATTAAATAAATAAAACAAAAATAATTGAATTTTATTAATTTAATAATTATTATATAATTAATATAATTTATAATCTATTTTAAATATTATAATATATGGATTAAAAAACGATAATATAATTAGTTTAATTATATTTGATATTGGATTTTTAAAATATATTTATTCGATTCTAATTATATATGGTGAAAGATTTAAAACAATAATTTCTATATAATAATAAATCGATATTTATATAATTATTATTTATTTATTTATTTATTTTTGCATTATTTTTTTAAATATGAATATATTGGTATATTGATTGTATATATTGATTTGGATTTGCTTGAAGGAATTATAGTACTTGATATGTTTTTTCGATTTTCGTTGGGAGGAATTTTAATCGTTATATTTGGAATTATGGGCTATTTGGATACCATAAACGATTGAAATATTTATATATTTTATTTAATGATAGGAAGATTAATGGTTAGGAGCGTTCTGATATATTTGAATTTGGTTAGACGGAGGTTAGATTAACGTTACATTAGCAAGATTTATTGAATAAGATGAATTTAAATCGATTTTTTTTTTGTGTTTGCGTAATTGGGCCGAGGCGATTTGATTCTATAGATCCTAGAAAATTATCGCTTGTGGAATTTGCAGAATTAGGTTGGGGAAATCATTAGCTCGCTCCCATAAGCATTATTTCAGGAACTTGTTTAGGCCTTGATCGATCGATTTGGGAAGCCACGCTTGGACCAAAGCGACGACGACGTGGAGAAAATTCTAGTAATGCGTGGAATCTTGACAATGGATTATCGATAGAATTGTTTAAATTGGGATCCTAAAGTATAGGCCCTGAGACCCATCAAACGGGACCCGATCAATTCATAAGAGATTGGGCAAATTTTGCAACGCCTTGATATTGAGCCAACACCCATATTTGGTGCACCGTTTTGCTGCATTGCGTCCCTTGCAGCAGGACAATTTGCCGCAAGACGCGGCCACGGCCATACCGTGGAAGCTGGACATTTCGCTCCGATCCGCCGAGGCGACAGAACTCCACACCCATATTGAGCGCCTGGCAGGGAATGGCATCATTCAATTGGCCCTTCTCGGGATCAGGCCTATGGACCTTCAGAGATCTCCATTCGCCACAGCCATCTCTCACAGGCTGAAGAGGTGATTCAATGGCTACATACACATACCCTGAGTCCAATGGTGCCACGCGCTATCTCAATAGTATCCTCCAGGCACAGATGTGGGCAATGGCCATAACGGAGGCCTTCACCATGGAAGCATGGGATGCATCGTAATTGCCGTTGACCCGGTTATTGAATTGTTGCGATTCAGGGCCTTTGGATCCATGCCGGGACGACTTCCTTGGTCCGGAATTCCGTAGTTGGCTTTCTTTTCACCCCTTTCATGCCCAACACGATGCAAGGTGGATGAGAAATGCCATATTTAGAAAATCGATGAATTTCGACAAAATATCATTTCATGGATGGGAGGCACGCCTTCAGCACAGCACCGAAGATCGAAGCACCCTGCTGGCCTACATCGTACTTAGGAACATGCCCACGAATCATGTCACCTTGCAGCAGTTTGTTGACACATGGCATGACAGCAAACCGTACATCAATGCACTGTGTTCTCCAAGCCAAATGGTGTGTATACAACTGGAACGTTATTCCAATCTTGCTCATAAAAACAGTTGTGCCGTGTGCTGGCCGCGAACTCAGGTGACTCTGCCAGTCTTCATGCACACCATAGGCCTCCAGATTGAATGGATCTCACATTATGTAGTGGCCAATATGGCACACTTAGGCGAGGATCCCAATTCAGGTCATTGTCGTATAGTTTTTTCCATTCCGGCCAAATGTTGTTTGCAGATGATGTTGAGGTTCCGTGCCGCATGATTCGGATTGAGGAGTTCAACAGGAATATATACCTTCTGTGATTCGTCCCACAGACACATCGAAACCGTGTGACTTGGAGCCGCCCACTGCCGAGCTTAGCACCAGATGATATGGCATTGACAACCGATCGTTTGGCCAGCTGAGATTTTGTCGAAAATCATGACCTGACGTCTGACCATATGAGCATTAACAAGCACACCACTTGACTTGCCGCATCGGATGTGGCGCGCTGCCCCAGAGGTAGCCAGGGCACAGCTTCATGCCGTGTCCCGAAGCCCAACACGGGCGAATAGATATTTGTTGGATATTGAATGAAATGAAAAAAATGTTATCTTTATTTTTGAAATTTATTGTTTAAAAATATCGTAATTTTATTGGATGATTAAAAGTTAATTATATCTCTATTTTTGTTGAACTAAATATATTAATATAATAAGAAATATTGTCAGAAATTAATAAAATGATACATATATTTATTTTGAATTCATTATATTAGGATCTATTTGTGGATGAGATTTGAACAAATCATATGATAGCATTTGGATCACAGCCTTGATCTGTGCAATATAGATCCCTGTCGTAGCAGCGCGGAATGATCCATACAAGGGCTTTGGCTATTCCCATCTGCTCCCATATCCAAAAAATTGTCGCATTATGAAAAAACTAGACGACGAGTGGCCCGAAAGCATTTTTCATCACGTAGGAAGTCAGAGTGTGAGTTATCTGTTAAGTGTTCAGTGTGAAGTGTTTAAGTCGAGTGAGTTGAGGTAGTGTGTGGGTCGCTATGTGTGTATCTATGTCCGTCTGTATATGAGTCTCTGTATGTGTGTGTGTCCGAATAAGTTGAGGCAAAGGGCCGCGCGATCTACGCAGAGGGCCGCGCGCGTATCGCGCCAATCGCACTCTCGCCTGCGCACCGCGTCCTAGAGTTGTATTACAAAGTCGCCACTTCTCGTTTTCCAGCTCCCCGGATATTGAGTGTGCTAAGTTTGTACTACAGAATCGTCAATTCTCATCTGGCCGTCCCCAGATACTCCGCGTACTAAAGTTGTACTACCAAGTCGCCAGTTCTCATCTTCCAGCTCCCCAGATACTCCACGTACTAAAATTGTACTACAAAGTCACCAGTTCTCATCTTCCAACTCCCCACCCCAAATACTCCGCATACTAAAGTTGTACTACAAAGTCGCCAGTTCTCATCTTCCAGCTCCACAAATTGCTCCGCGTACTAAAGTTGCACTAGAAACTCGCCAGTTCTCAGCTTCCAGCTCCACAGCTACTCCGCGTACTAAAGTTGTACTACACAGTCGCCAGTTCTCAGCTTCCAGCTCCACAGATTGTTCCGCGTACTAAAGTTGTACTACAAAGTCGTCAGTTCTCATCTTGCAGCTCAACAGATTGCTCCGCGTACTAAAGTTGTACTACAAAGTCGCTAGTTGTCATCTTCCGACTCCACAGATTGCTCCGCGTACGAAAGTTATACTACAAAGTCACCAGTTCTCATCTTCCAGCTTCCCAGATACTCCGCGTACTAAAGTTGTACTACAAAATCGCCAGTTCTCATCTTCCAGCTCCCCAAATACTCCGCGTACTAAAGTTGTACTGCCAAATCGCCAGTTCTCATCTTCCAACTCCCCACCCCAAATACTCCGCATACTAAAGTTGTACTACAAAGTCGCCAGTTCTCATCTTCCAGCTCCCCAGATACTCCGCGTACTAAAGTTGTACTACAAAGTTGCCAGTTCTCATCTTCCAGCTCCACAGATTGCTCCGCGTACTAAAGTTGTATTACAAAGTCGCCAGTTGTCATCTTCCGACTCCACAGATTGCTCCGCGAACTAAAGTTGTACTACAAAGTCGCCAGTTGTCAGCTTCCAGCTCCACAGATTGCTCCGCGTACTAAAGTTGTACTACAAAGTTGCCAGTTCTCAGCTTCCAATTCCACAGATTGCTCCGCGTACTAAAGTTATACTACAAAGTCGCCAGTTCTCATCTGCCAGCTCCCCAGATATTCCGCGCGCGCACTCGACACGCACGATCTCCGCAAAGGGTTGCGCGGAATCGCACTCTCGCCTGCATTTCGCGCACTCGACACGCACGATCTCCGCAGAGGGTTGCATTTTCGGTTGACGCTATTCGTCCCACCCTCCGCCTTTAAGAGAGAATTTATAAAGTGGGGAAATGCTTTTCATTAGGACATCTCCCGTGCAAGTTTTCCATACATGCATACTCATTACATATTCATTACACTTGTATCCTTTTGCACTTGGATACTTTCCGTTTACACTTGGATACTTGCCGTTGGATGCTTTCACTCTTCCACTTACACTGGGGTACGTATAGAAGTGTAAGTGTTCATGTTCATGTTCAAGTGTAAGTGTGAAAGCGTAAGTGTTCAAGTGCACGCGTCGAAATGTCAGTGTTCAAGTGCAAGTGTGGAAGTGTCAGTGTGTAAGTGCAAGTGTCGAAGTGTCAGTGTTCAAGGGATTTTCCGGAAGAACCCTTCGCAATGCTTTCGGGAAAAATAACAATATATAATTAGATTCAAAAGGTGGAAAATGATAATTTATTCACCAAATTGAAACGCGCAAGGCCCATATAACAAATAAACAACATCATGTATATACAAAAAATCCCTGAATAGGTAATTTATCAATATGGAATGATTTTATTGATCGTCTATTTATTGAATTTGTATTAATGATTTTTGAATAATAACATCCATTGATTGAAAGATGGAATCTATTATTACGAAAATTAGCACCAGCTAGCTGGAATTGTTTTTGCTCTAGGAAATGACGGGTTAGAATCCTCGAGAAGGCCGTAACGCGTGAAAATTTCATATGTGGGGGGTCCTCCCGTCTCTGGGACGTGTATATTTTCGTTGGTAGGGGGTTGATTGTTTTTGTGGCGGCAGGATTTGATTTGTTTTCTTTATCA